CTAAAGGACATCATACATGTAAGGTGTTCTGTATGTGTCTTGGAACTCTTTTTATCATTATTGTGTTGGTCTTATTGACATTTTCTGCTAATTTGAGAATAATTAAAGATGAAAGGAGAAAATCTCAGGGATTATTAAAATTTCAAAACAACTGTGGATTTCCAAACTCCCTTGCTTCTTTACAGAGGAAAAATATTTGCTTTTAGATGGGGGATCTTAGRTACCATGGAAACAAGAGTTGAAAAGACTTCAAGTAAATAGAAAGCAAGCTGCTGAGCCTGAGTTTTTCTTAAAAATATAACCATAAAATTTTGAGCAGATCAAGATTTGTATGGAATTTTGAAGGCCACATAGGTATGTATTACTCTATTACCAAATCAAGAGCTTGTACTGAACATTTCTAAACCACCTAATAAATGCTGCTTTCCCTTTACTGTTTCTTATATTATGCATATGCAAGAAATGCAAGTACAGTTTAAATGATGGAAAGGCAAAYAGTAACCATAATGAATGCTCTTTAATCAGTGCATTTCGTTATGATCAATGGTAGAACTTTGCTTAGTACAAATAACCATTTGTTTCATTCTTTAGAGTCAGAGAGATTTTTTAACAGCTTGACAATTTAAAAGGAAGAATTTTTTAAAAATGACATTTTTAGTTTCGCTTTTTTAGTTTTGCTTTCCCAGTTTTGTGATTTTTTTTTCAGTGTAAAGGTATGTTTGATAGAGATTTTAGTGAATGTAACTGATTTTTCTTCATCACAAGGCAATGTCTCTGATGGACACCAAATATGCTTCCAAGTGGTATTTCTAAGGGCAGAGGTCTCTGTAAAAATGAACTTGTTTGCAATAYTTTTTATCTGTCCTATCATCTGAGAACAAACCTGATTTTTTAAATGCCCAGAAAATTTCTCTGATTTGTAATATATTTCAACACTGAATGTATTCTAATATTTCTTAGTATTAAAATCACCAAGGCCCCAATAATACTATAGTCAGATTGTGTTAAGTGGAGAGCTGAGGATCAAAATTGTAGGTGAATTCAGTTTTATGCAAAAACTATTTAGATGCTATTCACAATATTTCTGATATCACAGAAAGGTAAAAAACTCTAATACCAGAGACSTACAAATTTCCCCACAATATTTGTCCAGATTAGAGATTGATGAGAGCAGGAAAAGAGATGCAATAATGTGGTATGGGAAGATTTTCAGGTTTCATTATTTATTCTGAAAATAATATATTCTGAGTACTTAAAAAATCAAACAATAAAAGTCTCTCTTTATCACCAGGATTCTAAGCTGTCAAGTGTTTGTTGCACATTTCTCTAGAAAATTTCAATGCATATATAAATACGTTGTATAGCTTCTTTCTTTGCAAAATAGGAACATATCACACGAAATGTTCTGTGCGTTGGTTTTCCTGCAAAATTTTATCTGAGAATTTTCCACAGCTTCACATGTGGAGCAACTTCAATGTTTCAACCAGCATCACAGTATTCCATCCTAAGGAAAAACAGTACCTGATATGCTACTGCAGTGGACAACTTGCAAGGACAAGACTTTGTACAAATTTGGAATTTTATTTTTAGATGGTTCCTAGACTGGAAATTACTCAGTGAAATGGTATGTATGTATTTCAATATTGGATGTATCTTTAAATTGGCTTTCAAAAAGATTGTATCAATTTACAACCCCATCAACAAAATATGCCTGTAATCAACTCTGTATACTAACAAATGTTTTAATCATGATAACATCTCTTTGGATGCTTAGTTGCTATTGGCATCTCTGTTCCTGTATCTCCATGTTCAAACTCTCCTGAATCTTCCCTTGGGTTGTGGTATTGTGTTATAGTTTAAAAAATGACTATATGTTAACTAAATTAGTCCTTTGACTAATATACATCCACAGATATTAATAACTGTTTTTTTAACCTGTATCTTGGTTTTGCTTGAAGTATTCTTGCTTTGGATATTCAAGTTAAGTAATGCATTCCTGTAAGATTTCTAGATTTTTTCTTGTCTTAATAAAAAAGGCTTGGAACACCACTGTTATGATTTAGATATGAGGTATCTCTCAAAAGTTCATGTGGGAAATAATGSTAGAATTTTCAGAGGTGAAATGATCAGATTTTGAGAGGTGTAATTTAATCAGTGGATTAATCCATTTATATGATTAACTGGGTGGTAATTGTAGGCAGGTAGGGAGAGTGGCTGGAGTAGGTGAGTCACTGGAAGTATGCCTTTGGGGTTTACATTTTGTCTCTGGTGAGAGGAAACTCTTTCTACTTCCTGGCTGTCATGTCCTGAGCTGCGTTCCTCTGCCGTGCTCTTCCCCTACAATGTTCTGCCTCATCTCGGGGCCCAGAACTATAGATTTTGGTGAACCATGGACTGTGCCTCTGAAACCATGAACCAAAGTAAACTTTTTCTTCTTTAAGTTTTTCTTGTCAGATATTTTGGTCACAGTGATGAAAAAGTTGATTAAAAYAATCACTGAAACCAACTGACCAATCAACAATTAGTCAAAAATTTCTCCTAGTTATGATGGTGATGGTGATGATGACAATGATGACTTTAAGTCCTAATATCTAGAATTTATTTTTAAAAATAAGATAGAATTCAAGCTTGCTTCCTTGCTTGATTATACTTATTTTTCTGTTTTCTGTTTCCTAACCTTGTCTCATCTGTGCATTGAGTAAACTCTTTTCCTCAGTGGCTACAAATATATCTTTATCACATTCTGAAAGGCTTTAGGCATTTGAGAATTTTATCTAATTGATTTTAATCCATTAATATGTGTGTTTTGTCTTCTGCCAGGATCAAACTCACTTAACATCTTCAGATTTATAATACAACAATAAAAACCTGGGGTACCCTGATGACTCTACTATTTCAGAATTTTCCCAATTTTTTTTTGTGAATTGTTTTTCATAAAATGTTAATGACCTTAAAGATTCATTTATAAATAGCAGAAATTTTAAAAATATTAATGATTTCTACTCAAGTACAATGTATGTCTATTTATTTGAGTCATAATATTTTTTTATTTTTAAATTTTTGGCTTCTGTGCAGAAAGAACTTAAAACTTTTCTTTTTAGGCCCAGGATGTAACTCAGTATTAGAGTGCTTGATTAGCACGTGTGAGTTCCTAGGTTTGGTCCCAAGCACTAAGAAAAAAACAAAACAAAACAAAACAAAACAAAAAACTGTTTTCCTTTCCAAAATTTGACAAATGTCTTAACTTTATTCCAAGTAATATGTTTTATTACATTTTAGTTCAAACTGGCTCTCTGTACAAAGAAAAATTAATAGGTTATGCACATTTTTTATCAGCTACTTTTCTGTATTCTTGATGTTTTTCCTTTGAAATTAGACAACTTTTCCAGATATGAAACCATACCACTTGTCATACATGATAATTTCTCACTTTTAAAATAATTTAGTCTCCTTAATTACTTGTGTTGTCTAATAACACTGGTTAGTAAGTTAGAACAATACCAAATAAGATAGGCATCTGCAGACATCTTTGTCTTTTCCCAATTTTAGACCTAGAATGTGTCTAGAATATTAATTTTAGGATGGATGCTGGCTTTCTCATAGAGTTTCAAATGGAAACRAAACCCAATAGAAAACCATATTGCATTTGACTCCACCCCTGCCATCTTCAGAAAACTGTGTTAAAGCTCCCAAATCTCTTCTTCCTTCTCATCTATCCATCCTGAATTTGATTAGAAATATGTCATCTATTTTAGTTTATAGTAACTTTAAAAGGTAGTTTCAATCATTGGATACATGTAGTAACAATTACTTTTGTGTAGAAACATGGAAAACAAATGCTTTATGGAAAGAAACCCCGTGTGTGTTTGTATATGTGTTACTTACATAGCATGACGTTGGCAGAAGTGCTGAGTATCAAAGAAGTTTTATTATTATTTGTAATCTTTCTAAACAGGCATTTTCATTAATTTGGCAAAGACAAGTGTATAAAGTATGTTGTGAGCCTAATGTTAGCTTTTGTGATATCTTATTTTTCTCCTATCATTAAAAGCTTAGGTATCCAAAATCTTTACAAATAAATGAGCTGAAACAAATAAAACTCAATCCACTTGAGAATTTGAAGACATCTGGTGGAGTTATTTTCTGAGTAATTAGACCAAGAGGTGGGGCAATTCCCTGAAGTAAGCTACCCTACAATTGGATACCCAGCTATTCCTGCAGTCAGCAGCTTACATACAGTGAACATATTGATTCACAAATAGACAAGCAATTATGAAGAGTTGCCACCTGATTTCCAAAGACCCATTATGTTATATGAGTTTATGTTCCATATAAGTTGCCTTTTCTTAATTATCTCATAGTAAATTTTATTTCTTTATGTCCTATTAATTCAACATACTACTTTTGCTGTTAGAGATATTGAATGTAGATCCCCTTCATGCACCGGTCTGTACTTGTCTTTGGATAATCCAACACTCAGGCACAAACATGACTTATTTACCATTTGGATTTTGAAAACGTCAATCCATTTTGGTACATAGAGATATCTATGAAGGACAAGATGATATTTAAATGCTTCCATTTTTTTTACCATAAAGGTAACTATTTATCTTAGAAATGTTGGTGAATGAAGTCAGTAAAGTTGAACATGATTCCTAGAACTCAGGACCTTTAGGTCTAACTACCACATAAGTAAAATTGAAAGACATCCTTTAATAGGGCATCCGCATTCATTCAGTCTATTTATTCACATTATTTATCTCCTCAAGCATGAATCATGCTATAATTACATGCAGTCCAACAGGAATCGAGTCAAGATATATTCATCACAGTTTATTTTGTAATGCTTGGAATGAGATCACCAAATCTTAACCAAACYGACTCAAAACTTCTTCCATGGGATAAAATCTCCATTTTTCATTTCACTAACTGAAATAACAGTATGACAACAGGCCAGCGTAGGATCTCGCACTGCCGTCCAAATGCCAGTGAAAACTCACCAGAAGTTTCGTCCACTCGTTCGTCTACTATGTGGTCCTTCTGATGAACCCACTCGCTATTGCACTTGAAGTAGATCTGGGTGGCAGGGCTGGCTTTACAGTACAGGTTCACAGGCTTGTTCTTYACAATATAGGCTTCTTCTGGCTCAATGAGAAAATGTGGCAGAGGCTCAGGTGGATCTGATGGAAACGTTTCTGGGAGTTCATGAAAAAAGTCGTCGTCTGTTAAGAAGAAAGTGGAAAATGGTCAAAACATTCAGATAAATTGTCTTTTATTTTGGTATTCACTTTAAAATCCCGACTTATAAATAATTACATGATTTGAAAGTCTACTACATGTGAGATATATCAATAGACTAGATGCTCAATTAAGGAGCTGCATTATTATACTCATAGCAAAACACATCATCAGGGAGAATAAACACCTTTCCCTCAAACCACAGACAGTAATTAGTAGAACTGGAATTGGGATTCAAGGCTGTCTAACACCAACACTGTGTCTTCCCAATACATTACTACACTTCCCACTACACAGTGTTACTCTCAATGAGAACTGATAAAAACTAAATGAACTTCATAATAAAAATTTGTTTGAAAAGCACAAGGCTCAAATGAAAATCTTAAATCCTTCGCAAGGCATTGAATATCATACTAGAGACACAAACTAAGGATCTTTAGATTCAGTTTAAATCTATCACTATTTTCAAAAAATTCCACAGTGTGAAACATTATTCAGCCAACATATATTAATTAAACTCATAATTTACAAAGCATTGGAAACAGTAATGATAACAGCAATTCAGAGGCACAGTACAGCCTAGAATCTAGAAATGCTTTTTGGTCTTATTTTAAAATTACACTTCAGACCTTGTATGGTGTTATGTGACTGGGAAAACCTGTTYTCATTGGATTACTGAGGATTTTTTGTTTTAAAGAAGAACAACACACTCATTTTTATGGCACTGAAAATTATCAAACATATTGCTCCTGCCCTGATGTTCCAACACCATTGAATAAACAACTTAAAAATCCCTTGAGATATTTGTTCACTTTGAGTTTTTTTTAAACKTGGATTCTGCATGATTCTAAATAAAAAAAAAATCATAAAAGTGATTTTTTAAATAAAATCTATCACATTTCACAAAAGTCAAGGTAAAAGGAGTAAGGAGTCTTTTCAATACATTATAAATAAATTAAGCTTGATAATTATCTTTTTTTTTTTTTTTTTGGTACCAGGGATTGAACTCTGGGGTACTCAATCACTGAGCCACATCCCCAGCCCTTTTTTTGTATTTTATTTAGAGACAGGATCTCAATGAATTGTTTAGTGCCTTGCTCTTGCTGAGGCTGGCTCTGAACTTGATCATCCTACTTCAGCCTCCAGAGCCGCTGGGATTACAGGCCTGCACCACCATGCCTGGCTGATAATTATCTTTTTTATAAGAAACAGAGAAGAACAAAACTATTTTTATTTTCCTAAACATGCTAATCTGTAGAGGGACAAAACTCTCAGATCAAAATTTAAAAATAAATTTAAAAATTTTAATAAATCCTTAGCACTAYATATATTCAGTATGTTACCTTGAAACTCTTTTTTTGGTCATTCAGTTGTTGCCCCATTTTGGGAGATGGCCATTGGTGAAGTGAACATCTGTCTCCTAAGAAACCTGGCGAGGGACATTTTTCATCTAGATCATGGGATAGCTGTCAAATAGTAATGACATCCAGTTTCTGCTAATCTCTTTTGCAGTAAAAATTGGCTTCACTTGCATCATGGGCAGAACAAGTTTTCAAAGTAGCTCCCCTGACTCCTACATGTAAGTGATGTTTCCTATAGTTTTCTTTCTTTCTTACTTTACCTCCTTAATTTGTTTTTTTTTTTCTTTTTTACTGTTGAACAACAAGGACCCAAACTGTCAGCTTACTAAAGAATAACCCTGTTTCTATCAGTTCAGCTCCTTTAGYCAATATGCAGGAACACTCAAGACTGCTTAAATAAACATAGCTCAGAAAGGCAAAAGGATGAGGAACTGAGCTATTGATGGATCCATCACCATAAAACTATTGTCCTGAAGGCCCTATCCAATCYTTTTCTTCAGCTGAAGTACTTCCTGTTGTATATGATGACTGACAGGGCTGATAATCAATAAAGCACTGCAAAATATAAGACTCAAATTCTACACAAGGTTGGCTTTTATTTTTAATTATTATTCATGGAGACAGATGGTAAACTAGACTTCATTCATTTTTTTTTTTACTGTTAGTATGTATTTGTATACACAAAACATGTGAAAACATTTAATAATTATGTATTTAAGTATGCAAATTATAAAAAGGCTTTCAGCTGTGGTTTTAAATGACTCTTATTCATTTAAAAGGAATTATAAGATAYCAGAGGATCATGTATTACATTACTTTATTTAATAATGTAACAAAGTATTTATAGGTTCACATTCTATGGAAAGACTTTATAGAGACACTAAAAATTKATTTCTATGCCCTGCTAAAACTTGTATCTTTTTTATTCTGATTATCTTATTGTAAACTACTGAGAATAATAATGAAGTTAAGAAAATCACACATATATTTTCAAGTAACAAGAGGCTCTGTTAAATGTGATGGGGGGAAATAAAGATTCAATAATATCATTATAAAACATATGATCAAACTAACTTTGCATTTCCTTAATATTTAGTTTTAAGATGATTGTGATAAGAAGAAATAAATCTATGTCTTGGTTTGAGGCTTCCCACAGTATTGATTTTCCAAAGCACTTTTCAACACTTAAAATGAAGGTTACTAAAAAATGATTTTTATCATTAGAAATGTTTTCTTCATGTGACAAATTTAATGTTTTCTTTTTTTACATATTATTCTAGTTTCTGCAGAACCCATCTCTTAATATTGCCCTAGAGAGCTGCTCTCGCCAATAATAGCATAATAGTCTATTAATATTTTCTAAAAAATGTATTCAATGTTACAGTCTTGGATTAAGTAACATTAAGTGATATGGCATGTCACTTCTAGCACTTAATTTAGGTTATAGAAATAAAATTAGTAAATAATATTCAAGACAGTAGATACGGATAGTGGGATAAATATGAAAAAATACAAATGGGATGATTACTAATGAGCTCACGAGCTATTGTGAATATTCATTTTGGAGCTTATTTGGTATTTCCAAGTTTTTTATACTGATTGACTATTTTGTAGAAAACATGGTCTTGCAGATGCCCATCCATGGAAATGATCCAAAACAAGTAAATCCCTGTCTGCTGAGGCTAACTCTTCCAAGGCCACTAGAGGACTGTTAAATACATGGCAATCAGAAAGTTTGAGATTCTACCTTGAGCTGATAGACTATTTACTGAAATCAGTTCCTAGCATGCRATTCATTTTACTATACCAGCAAACCAGCTTTCTGAAACTATTAAGGTCATGCTGCAAAAGTTGAAGCCATAAAAGAACAATTTTTATATTTCTCCACAGGGAGATCAGTGAGTGAATCTTCTTACCACTTTATTTCTTAATATAAATATCTGAAGAAGGGATCAGTGTGACAATAGGAACCCAATTTTCAAACAGCAACTTCAGACTGTGAACTTATTTCTAGTGACATATTACAGTTACCCTAAATTATTTTATTTTATAAAAATGTATACTCTGCTGCCGATATTGATTGCATTACTCTATTTAGGCAAAATGATTTTTTAATWATAAGATTGCTAAAGCGTTTTCTACATTTAGTTCATTCAAACCAACAAAGGAAAAAAATCTCTGAAGTTGCTTTGGTTCTGTACACTGGATTCAGTATCAACTCAAAGCTATAATTTCCTTTTGTTTGATGGAGATATAACATTATTATGAATTTTGTTATCCCCTACCATTTTACTTATTTTTCACTTTCTACTATTAGTTAATAATGACATTGCAACAGTAGTGCCTTTCTTATCTTGATRTCAGTAAATCCCAGTATTTCCTTTTCCGTTATCTCATATGGGCATTTGATTTTTCATTTATATACAAGAAGAGAAAGCTTTGCACCATGTATTATTTTTATAGACTTTCATTCCACCTAATTCTTGACAGGAAAATATTATGCTATGAACATCAATCTAGGAAGCTTTAGGTTGCCGGTTTTATTGCTATATATCAAGCTTTAATTTTCATCAACTTAATACATAAGTTTCTATATTTCTGAATCATAAGACTTAAACTATTATTGCTTATATCATAAAATATAGGACCATTATCTCTTTGTCTGAGACTTGAAGCGTATTCTTCTGAAATGGAATTTACTTCCAAATGATTCAAGAGCAATTTAAAATGAATGACTGCAAAGCTAATTTTATCTGCATTTGGCTACCCATCCATCAGAGAGATAATTCATGATATATTACCACAAAAGGCAGCTGGAATTAACTATCTGAATGAGACTCAGCTTATTTTTAATATTTTGATTAAAATATCCTTTGGAAGACAAAGACTATGGTCTATATTTCAAGAAACATATTACTGAATTCATCATTTAAATTCAAGTACTTGAATATATAATGCCTTAAATGTATTGCACAATTTGGAAGTACTGAATGATTTTTAACTTCAAAGGAAAAATCTTTATTTTTTGCTTTTAAAGAAATATTTGGCAAATGATGTCAATATATTACTAATTATCACTATTAGTAATCTAGTGATAAAAAGTTAACATGCCATTCGACGTATAGTTGCTCTGGAATAGATACCTCCTTCTGGCCCAATATAAGCCTTCATGATATTTGACCTTTTATTTATTTATTTTTTCAATACTGAGGATCAAACCCAGGGCCTCATACATGCTCTGCAGGCACTCTACCACTGAGCTATATCCCCAGCCCCACATGACCTCTGACTTTTACTAATATAGAATCTTCCTTTTCGCTCAACTACCATCTTTATTTCTGCCATGTAGTAGTACTGTGTTTAGAGGAAATTTTCAAAAACACTTTTGTTTTCTTTTCAAATAACAGTAAATGTAATGTAAAGCAAGAAGATAAGTTTATTTTCCTTAACAGATTAACTTAAAATATTGAATGATAAGGAAATGTGCTTTTGAATATTCTGGTTAGTATATAAATGGGTATTACATTAGAGAGAAACTGACAATATAAGTAATAATTAAATCTCTGCATACTTCCAAATTGGCTATCTCACTTCTTAGAATCCACATTATAGACAAAATGACA